AAAAACCCAATGTCGTAGAATATGAGCATACCCTCGGATACAGCTCGGCGAGCTGATTCTAACCATATATGGGTATCCATACAAAAAGTCAACAGGAACAGCTCTATAAAGAAAAACGAAAAAACGCGGATTAGCGTTTTTTTTCTAAATTTTGAACACTTACGGCGAGTACGTATGCCCCCTCTTACTATTCCACGTGGAAGTTGAGCGCATGGTGCATCCCAAATGTGATTGATGAGGCACTTTATCCTTAATTTTAGGTACTGAAATGAACAGGTAAGCTCACTTTTATCGTCTTATTGTTCTGCATTTTAACGAAACCCGATCCAAATTGCATAGCTTGTTTCGGCGCGTCATGTGGAGCTCCATATGAAGCAAGGACCTAAAATATTGAAACCTTTGCGAAGGCGCCTTCTATTCCACCAAAATTGTGCCGAACTTGCAGCAAATACAGTTGGAAAGACAAGTTGCCTGTTATTCTATTACACTGGTAGAACTATATCGTTAATAGAATCATGTGGACGATTCGGCGCTGACAGCCAAAGAGGGGGCATCTAGAGGACACTTTTTGCTAAACTGGGATTTATGTCATCTTAACAGAATTGCGGTACTGGAAGTGGTGCGTTCGAGAACTCTTTCTCTCGTTGAAGACAAGTGGCATGATGAATCGACAAGGCGTACAGGGTCGATACGCCTAACTTCGAAGACTATTGTGCCCCTCAGAGGCGCTTCATGACGCCTTTTCCAAGCGAGGGCACCATTATAGCGCTTAAAAGACGACCAACATGCCGACCTATACGCCCAGCGCAACTGCCCGCCCACAAATGGCCGCACAGTCACATTGGCGCTGATACCTATCGCTTCCTTATGAATGTAAAATTGATATGAAGCGTTGCTACATGGATATATGAATACATACGTGCAGCCGTATCTATCAAAGCGGTTGCTGGCACGATGCCAATGGGGAAACTCGTCCAGAAATGCTCGTCTGATGCCAGGCAAAGCC